ATTCCCCAGTTCCTTCTCTTTGCCATTTCCCCATCTCTTTATTTTCTTTCAAATTACCTCCCTGGTACCTATTCTTCATACCTCTTCCACTTCCCTTCCCTTCTCCTGCCCCATCCTCAATCCCCTCCCAAAGAGATGCAGGTCTCCCACAGGTCCCCTCCCATTTACCTTTCACAAGTTAATCTCTAACTTCATCCATGCCCCCTTCCTCTTTACAGAAGCTTTCTAGGGCACAATTCCACTGAGCTGATAAAAATTTAATAGGACTTTACAACTTAATTTTTAAAAACGTCTACACAAATCTCTAGGGTAATTCAAGGAAATCAGGGCACCTGACAACTCTCCATTTTCAGAGAAAAAATAGTGTGGGAGGGAGAGAAGAAGAGAAATAAAAATACAGAAATTCAGGCCCCAGAGATTCCAATACTGATCCACTGGGTCTGGATCTAAGAGATGAGAATCAATACTCGTTAAAGACATCCCTGTGGGTTGGGCGCCATGGCTCACAGCTGTAAACCCAGCATTTGGGGAGGCCAAGGAGGCCAAGAGTTTGAGACTAGCCTGGACTACAAGGTGAGGCCTCATACTTATGAAAATTTTTAAACATTAGCCAGTGTGGTGGTGCACACCTTTAGTCCCAGCTTGGGGATGCAGTGAGCTAGCTATACGACTGCGCCAATGCACTCTAGCCTGGGCACAGAGAGACACTGAACAAAGAAAAAAGAAAGAAAAAGAAAACCAAAACAAAAGCACCTCAGGGCTTTGGAGAAGCAATGGATTAGAACTTTGGGGCCGTTCTGGGTTGTGGGGTTTGGAAGATAGATATGTGGTTTCTCGGTTCTGGAATATGAGTTGGGGAGCTCTGAGTTTCAGGGGCTCCGGTTCTGAGAGATCTGTGGTCTGGCTTGTGAGGATCTGGAGTCCGGGTTTTGAAGACTCTGGGGCCTGACACTCCCCAGTCCGCAGCCGACCCCACGACAAGAAACTCCCCTCTCGCGCGGCTGGGGAGGGGTGTGGAGAGTCCGCGGAAAGCAGAGCCTTCAAACAGGAGAAGATTCCTAGAGCCCGGAGTCAGAGGAGAGACCCACGCGGCCCAGAGAGGCTGAGCGACTTGCCGAGGGTCACACCGCGAGGCTGGGCCCCGGGGCGGGCGCTCACCTCGATGAGCGAGTAGTTAATCTCCACGTCCGACTTCACGAAGCCCCCGCAGCCCACCACGATGTCCTCCGAGCCACACGCCGGCCCCACGCCGATCATTAGCAGCACCACCGCCGCGGCGACCGCCGCGGACCCGGGCAGCCCAGCGCCCCGGCTCACCCGCATGGCCCGGCCTCCCGCTGCTGAACCCTCAGCAGGCCCCAGCGGTCCCGCCCCTCACACAGCCCGGGGCCGGATCCTTCCTCCCCTGCGGCCGGCTGACAGCCCAGGCCCCGCCCACCACCACCTTGCCGCGCATGCGTATACCCACCCTACGCCCACACTCCAGAAAAGATAACTATGGCGCATGCTCGGCAATGAACTAAACCCATTTGTGCCCTCTGGAGGACCGGAGGACTCCGCGCACCATCTGGCAGGTGCAACGCAAGGTGCTTGAAGTCCAAAGTTGAATTCTACTTAAAAATTCAGTATCACAGCTGAAAAAGATCTGAGACTTCGTTAACTTTGTTGAGGAAGTATACAACAACTTCCTCAAATCTTTTTGGCCCACATATTTCACAAGTAAAATATGTTTTCTCAAAAAACCTTCAGGAATTTGTGTAAGTTGGTGAATTTTTCCGTGATAAATGATCAATAAGTTTTTTAAGCAAAACACATATGTTAAGTTTAGCATGTTAAAAAAGGCATTTAAACTTTATTTTAATCTTAACTCTAATAACACGTGTACAGAAACAAATTTTGATGAGTTTTTCCCCCCAAGCAAAAGTTTTGGGCAGTTCTCTTTGAAGTAACTCTGTGAAATGAAGATGATTTGTCTGAAAATAAGTTCAAATATTGGCATGTTGCATTTTGTCCCAAGGTGGATAACATAAGTGTTAACTACCAGTCACCACATCAAAATACACAAAATGTTGCTTTTCTGGCCTGATACGTGGAATTCTTCAATGCTGCTCTTAAAAATATAGTGCTGTATTTTGGCTTAGCTCCTGTAGCTCAGTGGCTAAGGCATCAGCCACATACACCAGAGCTGGTTCAAAACCAGCCCGGGCCTGCCAAACAACAATGACAACTGTAACAACAACAACAACAAAATAGCCGGGCATTGTGATGGGAGCCTGTACTCCCAGCTACTTGGGAGGATGAGGCAAGAGAATCATTTAAGCCCAAGAGTTTGAGTTTGCTGTGAGCTGTGATGCCAGAGCCCTCTACCCAGGGCGACATAGTGAGACTCTGTCTCAAAAAAAAAAAAAAAAGTGCTTTATTTTGATAGTTCTTATATTTTGTTTCTAAATGACAAGGTAAAACAAGAAAAACTTACCACTGAGATTTACTGTTGCGGTGAAAACTTAAGCTATATACAACTAGGTATCTCAAGTCAAACTGCAGGATAGTCACAACGTTCACAGTCAATGTATCACAAGGAATGATACCTTGACTCCAAGGTCACAATTGTGAGTGAATCTGATTTAAGTTTTTCACTCAGAAAACATCACTCAAATATAGTTATAAAGTTATTCAGTTATAAAAAGAAACTATAATTAGCCTATGGGGGTGTAATTTATAACCACAATTGAAATAGATGTCTTTTAGTCAAATCACTAGGGAATTGACTAGTACTAACCTACAGAAACTTCTTATCTTATAGAATGAGAAGCTGAGGCTCAGAAAAGAGAAGAAATGTGTCTAGGACTCTCTGTATGAGGCTTTAGGCTGTTCAGAGAGCTAGAAATTAGGAGTTAGGACTTCCAAGTCCTGTTCTTAGGTTACCCCAACTGATTTCCTCTGTGTTCCTCCTAACTTCCTAACTAGCCCTTCAAATTCATCTTCAAATATACAAAGAAATAAAGCACCAGGACCTTGGCAACGCCGATTTGGGGGGAGGGGGGAAGGGAAGTGGCTTTAGCCTTCCCCAAATTTCCACTAGCCTCCACCAAAAGTACCTCAAATAAACAAACATGATTTAAATGGAAACAGTACGCCTGCCACACTCAGCTTCAAAATAAATCCCTGGGGTCTTTATGTCCTGGCTCCTCCGGATGACTCAGACAGGAAGACAGCTTTAGAGGTCCTTCTGGGACCCCAGACATGAATTGGGGAGATTCCAAAAGACTGGGGAAAACAAGGCTGAGGAAACACGTGCTGTGGGAGCCTTGCCGAAAGCACCAGGAGAGCAGGAAGAGAAGACCTGCAGAGGTAACAGGGCAACGTGGAGAGTGCAGACTGTTCCATTCCTCCCCAAGCTGAGCACCTGTGCTTGTCTGAAAGGGCTGAGTTTTTTCATCTTATCTTGTTTATTTTATTATTTTTTATCTTTTTTTTTTTTTTTTTGGTGACTAAGTCTCAAGCTGTTGCCCTGGGTAGAGTGCCATGGTGTCTTAGCTCAGAGCAACCTACAATTCTTGGAGCTCAAGCTATCCTCTTGCTTCAGTTTTTCTATTTTAGTAGATACTGGGTCTCCCTTTTGCTCAGGCTAGTCTTGAACTTGTGAGCTAAGGCAATCCACCGGCCTCAGGATTACAGGCTTGAGCCACGGAGCCAGCTTTCATTCCTATCCTGAAAAGAATACATGTTCACTGCAACATGAAAGAAACAGGAAATGAGCTGGTGGCAGTAGCTCATGCCTATAATCCTAGCAAGGCCTAGGAAGGTGGAAACCAGCCTGAGCAAAAGCAAGATACCCGCCCCCATCTCTAAAAATAGCTGGGCACTGTGACAGGGCCTATAGTCCCAGCTACTTGGGAGGCTGAGGCAAGAGAATGACTTGAGCCCAAGAGTTTGAGGTTGCCGTTGAGCTATGAGGCCAAGGCACTCTACCCAGAGAGACAAAGCAAGACTCAGTCTCAAAAAAAGAGAAAGAAAGAGGGCAGTGCCTGTGGCTCAAAGGAGTAGGGCGCCTGCCCCATATGCTGGAGGTGGTGGGTTCAAACCCAGCCCTGGCACAAACTGCAAAAAAAAGGGACAGGGAAGAAAATTGAAATTCTTCCCCATGATCACTGCTTTAGGACATTTCCATCTTTTTATCTATGCACATATAGTGATGTTGATTTCTTGGTTTCTAAGCAGCAGCTCCTGGGACTCTGACAGAAGACACATTCTTTGCTTTAAGACCTGACAGAGAAGGTAAGTGCCCTGACTTCCTTCCCTCCTTCTCCCCATTTAGGCATATGGCATATTCTTTTCCTTTCTTTTCTTTTTTCCTTTCTTTTTTTAATATAGCCTATTTTTTTACCTACTGTTTTTTAGTGACCATCTTTCCATAGTAATATACCCTCTCCTTCCATAATAATATATGTGTGCAATGGCCTTTTAAACCTCTAATGCAATGGCAATGGCATTAGTAACCCACAGGACTAAACAGTAATAGTAATGATAATTGCTGACTCTTAGGGAACATTTACCGTGCTGTGCTGTGCTAACCTCTTCATAACCTTGCAAATTCTTCCCACCACCCCAGAAGTAGACAAGGTCCCAGTGAAGAACTTGCCTGATAACCTCCACCTATAGGCCTTGATCAGGCGCTCTCCCGAGGTAGGACCCTTAGGCCATCCATCGCCAGGTTTCCTCGTTAGAAAACGGTGCACACCCCTTGGGTTCTTTGATCAGGATAAATTCCTAGAATTACTGGATCCAAAGTGTTCAGGTACTTTGGGGTGACACTTGTTGCAGGGGGCAGAAGGGAAATATGAGGGTGCTATTGCACTTTCGGGGGTTCCAGTATCCAATTCCCCGACACCACCCCCCAACCTCACCTCATTTAACCCCTCGTCGCCCCACCCCCGCCGCGCGCCTGAACCTTGCCCAGAGCCTAGCAAACCTGGATCTCAAATCCCGGCCCGATCTGCCCTGACCCGTCACTTCCCCGGCCTGGAGCGCCGCGGAGGAGGCTGTCCAGGGATTGAGCGACAGAGCCACGCTAGGACCACCGGACCAAACAGACTACGCCCGATGGCCGCGCCGGGCGAGCTCTGCGCGGGGCCGGGGGTGAGTGCCCCACTCCCTCCACACGCTGCTTTTCCAGGCGCAGTTTGGCCACAGATCTCTAGGGCTGGGCTGCGGGTACTGGGGAGAGAAGAGATTCCTCCGCCCCAATTCCTGGCCCTGGGAAGCTGCTAAGGCCCCTCACAGAGTCCAGCACTATTTAAAGGACCTCCAGCTACTGGGGGCTTTGACCCTAATCCGCATAAAACTAGTGGGTCCTCCAGCCCCTTCCCACCCCCAGAGAGTCCCATCAGAGCTCCTGGATTCCCTGCCTCTGTGTTCCTCTCCTACCTGGGCTCTCAGCAAAGGAATCTAAGGGGAATCTAGGGAATTCATGGATCTAGGTAGGGGTTGCAAAGTGGGGCGGGGAAGCCAGACAGGTAAGGCAATGACAGCCGAGGTTAACAGGGTGTCTGCTCTGTGTCCACATGGTGTTGTGTGCTTGGCTGCTGTTACCCCTTTCAGTACACATACATCCCTTGGAGGGAGATTCTGTTATTATTTCCTTTTTCAGGGAAGTTAAAGTGTACACATTTGGTGAGTGGTGAAACCAGAGGAGTAAAAATACACTGATGAGAGAACTGGAGAGGCCACGTCCACTAAAATTCAAATTTCTCCCAGGGTTAGTTAGGGTTAGGGTTAGACCTGCTGAGATAAAAATCAGATAAACAACACCAGAAGAACCAGCTTTCAGATCAGATGGCCCTGGGTCACAGTCAGCTCTGCCACTCTATACTTGTGTGGGCCTGGAGGAGACAGTTCCTTCTCAGTGCCTCAGTTTTCTGGTCTGTGAAATGAGGACAGCAGCACCTACCTCCACGAGTTGTTATAAGGATTAACAGACAGTCTGTGCCTAGCAGTCATTAAGAAGCCAGGTCTGTTAGGCTCCAAGACCCACCCCCCTGGGTTCAAATCCAAGCACCACCACTTCCCAGCTGAGTGATATTTGTCAAGTTACTCAACCTCTCTGGGCCTCAGCTTTCTTATCTGCCTAGTCAGTATGATAATTGCATCTACATCATAGGATTGATGTTAGGATGAAAGGAGTTGAGAACAATTAGGCATTATAAAGAGTAGTTAGCACAATTGTGCGTAAATGTTAGGGAAATAGAAAGTTGCCTAGACTCCTGGGCAGGTGTGTTTGGAACCCCTGTGTCGTACTGTCATAAGGGTCTCCTTGGTATTCCCTCAGGTCTGGAACCAGACAGAGCCCGAACCTGCTGCTGCCAGCCTGCTGAACCTATGCTTCCTGAGAACAGCTGGGGTCTGGGTGCCCCCCCTGTACCTCTGGGCCCTTGGCCCTATCTACCTCTTCTACCTCCACCGCCATGGCAGGGGCTACATCCAGATGTCTCCCCTCTTCAAAGCCAAAATGGTAGCTACCACCCCTGGGAGCCTGGAACTGGACAATGTGGTGAGGGGACAGGCTGGAACCCAGCAGAGACCCAAAGTAGACACTCCTCCTATCAGGGAGCTCACAAGATGGAGATAAAAAGAGAACCTGTTAATCAAACAGAGCAATTCTAGAAAGGCTGCAGAACAGATTTTATATGAAAATCCAGGCATGAACAAACATTCACAGGTACCATAACCCGGCACTTCCCAGTATGCCGGTGAGGTACACAGGGTGACTTTAGGATCACACTAAGATGAACTTATTTTGAAATAAGGCATTCATTTCTATGTTTCTCCACTGGCAGTATTATAGAACAGTTTTTACAATTGCTCCATGGATTTATTTGGGTATATTAGACAGTCACTGGCATTCCAACTGGGAACATTTCCATTCATAAATCCTCTTTTCCTCTAGACTCCTACCAGAATGTTCTTCAAAATGCCTTCTTCCCTACACCATTTTAACTTTTGCATTATTGCCTACCACTTCTCTGGGGGGGACAAACTTAAAGAGCCAGGTAGTTACATAGTATTTGAGGGTTTGTGAGCCAGGTGGTCTCCCTTCCAAGAACTCAATTCTGCCATTGCAGCATGAAAACCACCTTAGACAGTAGCAGGACTGTGTTTCAATAAAACTTTATTTATAGTCACTGAAATTTGTATTTTGTGTAACTTCATGTGTCACAACATATGTTTCTTTTGTTTTTTTTTCTTTTCAGTGATTGAAAAGTGTAAAATCATCTCTGGCCCACAGGCCATACAAAAATAGGCAGCAGGCCAAACTTGGCCTACAAGCTGTAGTTGGTCAGACTCTGCTTTAAACCCACAGATACTTTCAACACTTCCTCCATCGTTCCTTCCTGTGACCTTCTCTCTGGCACATGCATGCTCTCTCACTTGCTTGCTTTTTCTTACTCAAAAGAGACACCAGTACATATTAGAGAGACCCTAAAACAGTGTTTCTCAACCTTTATCTCATGACACACTTGAACCTAGAGTTGAACTTCTGTGGCACACTTAAACTATGTTGATCAAAGAACAGAGTAAAAAAAGAATATCCTTACTGCTTTGAACTTCTCTTAAAAATAATTTAATTAATGATCTTTAAATTTTTTATTGGCTCAGCACCTGTGGCTCAAGTGGCTAAGGCGCCAGCCACGTACACCCAAGGTGGCAGGTTCAAATCCAGCCTGGGCCTGCCAAACAACAATGACGGCTGCAACCAAAAAATAGCCAGGCGTTGTGGTGGGCGCCTGTGGTCCCAGCTACTCAGGAGGCGGAGGCAGGAGACTTGCTTGAGCCCAGAAGTTGGAGGTTGCTGTGAGCTGTGATGCCAGGGGGACAGCTTGAGGCTCTGTCTCAAACAAAAAAAGAAATTTTTTTCATGGCACTCTAACTGAAAATCACTGCCCTAGAAACTTATTATCCCAACCAGAGAGTTTCTCCTTGATTTAATAGCAGGACTGAAAACGTAGAGTCTAGCTTTTTCACCTGGTGAGTAAATCTCACTGCCTGCTATTTCCACATACCTCACACTGTGTGTGCTCTATTAGAGTATCTCCTGCATTGTAGAGAACACTGGGTTGGCTGGAGTCCTTGTTGAGCATTATTTATACGATAGTTACAGGTCAGGGTTGATCTGCAGGGCCCCTCACGCATTCTTCACATTGGCACATTGACAACTTGTGGCATTGGTTCCAGACAGGGTCCCAGTTGGGATGTTCCAGAACTACCATCTGATTGGACTCAGGGTCGCCCTTTGATTTGCTGCCACTTTTGTCGCTACCCCCCCGGCCTTATCAAAGCCTGTCTCCGCAGGTGCTCGGGTTCACCCTCATAGTCCTGTGCACCTGCAGCGTGTCTGTCGCTCTCTGGAAAATCCAGCGAGGAACCCCCGAAGCCCCGGAATTCCTCATCCACCCTACAGTGTGGCTCACCACAATGGTAATGACGTCCTCAGATTGGAGTCTGGCTGGGTCCCAGTTGCTGATTTTTCTGTCCTGGTGGAAAATGAAGGAAAAGTATACTCCCTGCCCTGCCTAAGTCGCCCGTCCTGACTTTCTCATCCAGAGCTTAGCTGTGTTCCTGGTTCACACCGATAGAAAGAAGGGCGTCCAGACTTCCGGGGTGCTGTTTGGGTACTGGCTGCTCTGCTTCCTCCTGCCAGCTACCAGCGCCGCCCAGCAGGCTTCAAGAGGGGTAAGAGGGGCCCGGGCTACCTGGGGAGCCCGAAACGGTGGCATCAGGCCTCGGGTCCCACCCTTCCGCCTCCCCTTTCTGCGTATGACACACACTGACCACTTAAACTCACTCCCTACCTAGAAGAGCACGTTACTCCATACGGTTTTTATCAATACAAATTCCCATTCTCTTACACACTCCACTTGCACGTGTACACACGCTTGTATGTCCCTGTTCATGCATCACTCAAGTGTGCACGTGCATTAACTGGGCACAGACACACATTCATGCAGTCTAATCAGAAAAGATCTGACAATGAAGTTGGCGAACTCATCCTAGAAAAAGTGCTACATACCTCATTGCTGACTATCAATCACTAGGGTCACCTTCAAAGTATTCCCCTCAGCCATCTGGTGAGTAGGAATACTAAGCAATGAGGTATATAGAGCTTTTCCTAGGCCGCGTTTGCGAACTTAATTGTCAGACCTCATACATACACATTTCCCCTCATTCTCAAACATTTGCCCACTCCTAGACGCCCACGCATCTGTATTTACACCTTCATTTTTCACACCCACCCATATTTCTGTTCCCCAGTCCGGGAAGCAGCATTTCCACGTTAGGAGATACAACGGGTCATTTTCTCTGCAAAGAAGATAATACATAGTCTGGACTGGGTTTTATTGATATTTGGCTGGATAAGTCTGTGTTGGAGGGTAGTGCTGTCCTGTTCACTGTAGGATGTTGGCATCTGGCCACTAGATGCCAACAGCACAGCATCCCCCCAGTTGTGGTAACCCAGAATGGCTCATTCACTGCCAGATGTCCTAGGGAGGGGGGACCTGTTGAGAACTCAGCAAGGCTCCCAGGAGAGGGGGTTGTCTTGAGACTGACAGGCTGCAGCAGCTTACAGACCATCAATTCTTGAGTCCAGTGGTTCCTTTATCTCACTACTAAAGCAGAAGGTAGACAAACATTCTCCTGTCTTTAAGGATAGACTGTTTTCTTAAAGCATAACCTTTGTAACTAAAGGGAAAATTCCACAGACCATCCATTAATTTATGAGTGGCCCCATAATTTACTGCTGACTTATGGGTCCACTGTTGGGGACACAGCATAGAAAAAATAATACTGGAACCACACAGTTCTAGTGCTACAGCCATGTGGCAGGCACCCCATGGGGCAAACAAGGAGGGACACGTCCTCACTAGGTCCCCACAATAGCACTCATGGTAGATTCTGGAAGCCCCATTTTAAGATGAGAAAACTAAGGCCAAGAGGAGGGAATGACTTCCTCAGAGTCACCCGGCTTGGGAGTGCAGAGCCGAAGTCGTACTTCACCCAAATTCAGACCAAACGTCCCAATAATAACAAAGGATAAAATAACAGTATAGAGAAGGTGGGCCATAAAATAATAGGAATATCAAATTGTCCACTACCTGCAAAAGAAAAAAAAAAAACAAAAACTAAACTAAAAAGCCCAGAAGCCTACAAAATCCAGTAGAGGATTCAGGGCTCTTGTTTTAAGCAACAAAGACTCAACTCACACTAGCTTGAGAAGGAAAAATCAGAGGAAGTTGTATTAGCGCCTGTATGTCAATCTCCCAGGCCTGAGTGATCCAGGCATTCAGGGAACACCAGCTGGTGTCCATTTCCATCTCTGAGCTCCTCAGTGATAGCTTCATTCTCCAATGGGAAGACAAGAAGAGCCACAAATAGCTCCACACTTACATTCTACCAACGCAGCAAACCTGGTGGAATCTCCCCATAGTTTCAGCTCTCACTAGCCCAGCATGTGTCCCAAGTCCATTCCTAACCCAATTACAGAACCCGGGAAAGTAGAATGTACTCATTGGCCAAGCCTCAGTAACCCATCCGCCACTGGAGAATCCGTTCTGCATAAACTATATGCCTGAGCATGAGGAAAGAAAATAAGGGTGATATGACCAGGAACAAGACAGCAGAGGCAAAAACAATCATGGTGCGGCAGCAAAAGGTCACGATTTGGACCAGATCATCTGTGTGCCCTTGAGCAAGGTGCTATCGCTTCTCTTGCTCAGAGAAGCAAGAGAATTGGATGAGTAAAATGCAGCTTGTAAGTCCCAGCTGGGGTCAGGGAGAGGAAGGATCTGATGGGATTGCATATAGGAAGAATTCTGCATGTGCCCAGGGCAGGACACTCAAAAAAACCAGCTTCCTTTTCCACAAACACTGGCCAAGACGGAGTGGGATGGGAGACTGGGTGGGTGCCGGATGGAGAAAGGATTTCCTTCATCTCATTGTCTCAGCAGCTATGGCCAGACTTCAACCAGCTCAGGACAAACCCTAGACACAGCCCTGGCCCTTTTTGTACAGACAGGATATGTCTAGCATATGTTTAAGTCAGGTGTTTGAAAATTGGGACAAGCAGGAATGCCAGGGGCTCTGCCTTTGAAATACAGCAGTCCAGATGGCCTGCTGGGCACTGTCCTCAGCTTTCAGAAACCCTGCTCAGTCTCCACCTCTCATGTCCTGTGGGCACCCTCTTACCCCTGCCCCTCACTTCAGCCTTCTGCTTTCTCTCCCACAGGGCTTCCAGAGTGATCCCATCCGCCACCTGTCCACCTACCTATGCTTGTCTCTAGTGGTGGCCCAGTTTGTGCTATCCTGCTTGGCAGATCAACCTCCTTTCTTCCCCAAAGACTCAGAGCAGTCCGTAAGTTGGCAGGTCCCCTACCCAGTGTCTCCTGTGTCCCTGCCCCACGTCAGGCCTCAGTTCAATTAAAGAACCAAAGTTCTTTAATTTTTTACTGACTCACCAAAACATGAATTGCTCATCTACAGTATGCCACAGGTCGGTAAACTTTTTCCATACAGGGCAAGATAGAAAATATTTTTGGTTTTTTTAAACCATACAATAGTCTCTGTGGCAACTACTCAACTCTGCCATCATAGCACAAAAGCAGCCATAGTAATATGTCAACAAATGGGTGTGGTTGTGTTCCGATAAAACTTTATTTACAAAAGCAAGCAGTGGCCCAGATTTGGCCCAGAGGCCAAAGTTTGCGGACTCCTGCTGTGTACCCCCAGAGAGGGGCAGAGGATCTATCATAAACAAGCAGATATAGTCCCTGTCTTCACACAGCCAACAGTCAATCAGGGATAACACACATTGGTCACATAATTACACAAATGTGTAGAAAATTACACCTGGGGAAAGTGCTCAGTAGAAGTTCATGTCCTATGAGCGTTTATAACAACAGGTAACTCTGAAGAAGTCTGTGAAATCAGGAAGGAATTCTTCAAGGAAGAGACTGATCTGAGATTATCTAGAAGAAGATGCTCAAATGCTTGAGAAAGCTAGTTAAAACTGTAATAAAACTTTTTTGCATATCAGAATGGCAAAAACATTTCAAACTTGATAACAAGCTGTGATGGCAAAGATGTGGTGAAATGGGCACCTTCATCCCTCATTGGTGAAGAGTACAGATTGATATAGTATTTATGGAGCACCTGATAAAAATCACAAGACAGATCCCTCTTCACAAAATTCACTGAAGGATATTGTTGAGGTCATCGTTTTGCAGGGTCCTTGCTTTCAGAACTTTTTGGTCTTGGTACATTACTAGTTGATCTTCTGGCCAGTGCAGTGGCTCAGGCCTGTAATCCTAGCACTCTGGGAGGCCCAGGCAGGTGGACTACCTAAGCTCACAGGTTTGAGACCAGCCTGAGCAAGAGCAAGACCCTATCTCTAAAATTAGCTGGGCATTGTGGTGGGCATCTGTAGCCTCAGCTACTTGGGAGGTGAAGGCAAGAGAATCACTTGAGCCCAAGAGTTGGAGGTTGCTGTGAGATATGACACCACAGCACTCTATGGAGGGTGACAGAGTGAGACTCTGTCTCAAAAAATAATAATAATAATAGAAAAACTAGCTGGGCATTGTGGCGGGCACCTGTAGCCCCAGCTACTCAGGAGACTGAGGCAGGAGGATCACTTGAGCCCAAGAGTTTGAGGTTGCTGTGAGCTATGATGCCATAGCACTCTAACCAGGGGAACAGAGTATATCAAAAACTAAAATTAAATAATAGTTGTTCTTCTGGGGAGCTATTAGTTCTTACCTTGGGGACACTATCAGTCTGTGGTCCAATTTCCTTTTACCCTGCTTGCTAGAAAGCGCCAGGCCCATTGCCATCTACCTCTGGCAAGGAGACCGGGTAATTGGGCTTGTACCTTAGTATTAGCTCATGGTCAATTCATCCTGTCTTCTTGCCCATGGTTCACCTCACCACTCACTCACCATGGGATAGAAACCAAGGCCACCCCCTCCCCTTGTCTATTGCAGAATCCCTGTCCAGAGGCCGGGGCCTCCTTCCCCTCCAAGGTTACATTCTGGTGGGTTGCCAGGTAAGTAAATGGCAGGGAAGGGGTGGTGCACCCTCACCCACCTGTGTTTGCTGCTCTAATTCCCCCTACAGTCCTCCCCCATGAGGATTCCTCCCAAGCTTGCAAAGGCCGACCAGGTTTCCTCCATCCCAGCCTCAGGGCTTCTGTCTGAGGTTTCAGTGCGAACACCTCCTACATCCCATCCCCATTTATTCACTGGAGGAGATATCAATTTGAATCTAACCTCTGGCTCTTAGTGGTCCATGTCACAATACCCAGAATCTCTGTTTTCTCCACTGTCTATGACATGGACTCTACCTTCATCAATGGAAAGTGCCTGGTACTTGCATATAGCAGGTCCTCAATAAAATGGTATCTATTGGGCAGCGTCTAAGGCTCAGTGGGTAGGGTGCCGGCCCCATATACTGAGGGTGGTGGGTTCGAACCCGGCCTCAGCCAAACTGCAACAAAAAAGTAGCCGGGCATTGTGGTGCGCGCCTGTAGTCCCAGCTTCTTGAGAGGCTGAGGCAGGAGAATCATCTGGGCCCAGGAGTTGGAGGTTGCTATGAGCTGTGTGACGCCACGGCACTCTACCGAGGGCAATAGAATGAGACTCTGCCTCTACAAAAAAAAAAAGTTATCTATTACTCAGCTTTAGTCATTCCAACACTTAATAAGCATCACTATATTCTAAGCACTGGGGATAAAGCGAGAAAGGACCAAGTGTCCACTCCCCAGAGGGTCCCAGGCTGATGGAGAAATCAGGGCTGGCACATGAGGCCTGGAAGATGTCCCCTCCTACCAGACCCCCTCCTGACCACATTGCAATCAGACCTCAGTGTTATGGGATTATGTGGATTAGAATCCCGTCCCCACCATTTCTTGGCTGTGTGGCCTTAGGCAAGGTCCTTAACCTCTCTGTGCCTCAGTCTCCGTACCTATAAAATGGGAATGATAATAGCACCTACCTCATGAGTTGTGAGGATTAAATGAGACTAGGCTTGTAAAGCACTTAGAACAAGGCCTGGCACATAATGAGTGTCAGTGGTTATTAAGTCAATGAAAAACATGAGGCTTTGGATGTGGGGAATTGGGAGAAAGAGCTGAGTTGTTGGGTTTTTTTGTTTGTTTTGAGACAGAGTCTCACTTAGTCACCCTGGGTAGAGTGCCATGGCATCTTAGCTCACAGCAACCTCAAACCCCTGAGCTCAAGTGATTCTCTTGCCTCAGCCTCCCAAGTAGATTCTCTTGCCACAACCCCCAGCTATTTTATAGAGATGGGGTCTCACTCTTGCTCAGGCTGGTCTTAAACTGGTGAGCTCAGGCAGTCCACCCAACTCAGCCTCCCAAGTGCTGGGATTACGGGTGGGAGCCACCACACCCCGCCAAGAGCTGAGTTTTCTAAACAGCTCTAACTGGGGTGTCTAGCCCCTGCTTCCCAACTTAGGCATTTGTGGACCATTCTTCACCTTTTGACCCAGTGAGGTATCACCCATACTCTACTTTTTTTCTTTGAGGCAGAGTATCACTCTGTCACCCTGGGTAGAGTGGCATCATCATAGCTCACAGCAACCTCTAACCCCTGAGCTTAAGCAATCCTCTTTGTCTTGGCCTCTTGAGTAGCTAAGACTACAGGTGTGCACCACGATACCTGCCTAATTTTGTCTATTTTAGTAGAGATGGGATCTCACTCTTGCTCAGGCTGGTCTCAGACTCCCGAACTCAAGTGATTACCCACCTCAGCTTCCCAGAGTGCTGGGATTACAGGTGTGAGCCACTGGCACCTGGCCCATACTCTATCTAGATACTTATTTTTCTTTAAATTGACTCACCTGTTTTTTTAACTCCAATAAGCTTTTTTTTGAGACAGAGTCTCACTATGTTGCCTTGGGTAGAGTGCCGTGGCGTCACAGCTCACAGCAACCTCAAACTCTTGGGCTTAGGCCATCCTCTTGCCTCAGCCTCCCAAGTAGCTGGGACTACAGGTGCCTGCCACAATGCCTGGCTATTTTTTAGTTCTAGTTCTCAATGTTGCTTGGCAGGCCCGGGCTGGATTCAAACCCGCCAGCTCTGATATATGTGGCTGGCGCCCCACCTGCTGAACTACAGGTGCTGAGCCAGGAAACTGTCTATCAATACTGAAACTGGGAAAATCTGTACCATTGCTTGCCATGTAAAACTCTAAAAATAATTTAAAAGAAAACCAAGCAATATTAATAACACAGAACTGTTGCTTCCCCACATTTGCTGTCAGACAAGTGAAATTGGCAATTCTCGAGAAGAGTCAAAGACCAGCACCAAGCAAGCCCTGCTTGTCGGTCTCATCAGAAAGATCCAAGAGACCTGAAAAGAAAATAATATTCCCACAATGGAAGGCCAGAGAATTTCATTTCTCATATATGTGCCAGCTACAGTCATCTCATACCAGCCCACACCTGGGAAACTTTCTCATTTTATTTTTTTTTATTTACTTATTTTTTTTTTTTTGAGACAGAGCCTCAAGCTGTCCCCCTGGGCAGAGTGCCGTGGCATTACAGCTCACAGCAACCTCCAACTCCTGGGCTCAAGCGAGTCTCCTGCCTCCGCCTCCCAAGTAGCTGGGACCACAGGCGCCCGCCACAACGCCCGGCTATTTTTTGGTTGCAGCCGTCATTGTTGTTTGGCGGGTCTGGGCTGGGGATTCGAACCCGCCACCTTAGGTGTACGTGGCTGGCGCCTTAGCCGGTTGAGCTATAGGCGCCGAGCCAACTTTCTCATTTTAAATTGAGAAAACTGAGGCCTATTGATGAAAGTGACTTGCGCAAGGCCACTGACAAGTGGCTTCATTTGACAAATCTTCTTGTACTCTGTGCCAAGAAGCAAGGATTCAGAGGAGGGAGAATGAGACAAACTCTGCCTTTGCCAGAGCTTACCATCCAATGGATGAGACAGACATTACATACATAATTACAGCTCCCCAAAATAAATGATCATAATTGCAACAAGCATTATAAAAAAGAGGCTCAGGCCTGGGCGTGGTGGCTCACTCCTGTAAGCCTAGCACTATGGGAGGCCAAAGCAGGTGGATCACTTGAGCTCTGGAGTTAGAGACCAGCCTGAACAAGAGTGAGACCCCCATCTTTACTCAAGATAGAAAAATTAGCCAGGCATTGTGGCAGGTGCCTGTAGCCCCAGCTACCTGGGAAGCTGAGGCAGGAGGTTCATTGAGCCCTGGAGTTTGAGGTTGTATCGAGCTATGATGATGCCGCTGCACTCTAGCTAGGGAGACAGAGTGAGACCCTATCTCAAAAAGAAGAAAAGAGAGGCTCAGGAAACTATAGGCATTTATGATGGAATCTGCTTGGGCTGGGGAGAGGGAGGGGTCAAAGTGGGCTTTCCTAAGGAAGTCATGTCTAAGCTCAGATGTGAAGGATGAGTAAGAAATAGGCAGGTGAAAAAAATACAGCCAGGTGAAGAGCTCCAGGAAAAGAATTTTAAGCAGAGTGATAAGCACATGCAAAGGTCTTGAGGCCTGGTGGCCGGAGCAGTGAGTGAGGAGTTTAAGTTTCCTCCACAATAATAATTTTGGACCCTAGATTTCTGATTCCTGGGGAGAGGCCTATTCCCCTGTCACACAGGTTATCCCTTGGTTAAATCCCTTAATATGAGCCTCTGTGGTTTTTTCCCTCTGTAAAATAGGTCAGCAATAATCTACCCTCCATATAGTTTTAAATTACCAATTTTCGATTAAAAATAGTAATCATCTACCATTATTACTCAGGCTCATGTGAGAATTAAATGAGACCTTTGTAAACTGAGAAGTACCCGGCAAAAATGTTAGGTAGGGTTAGTTCGTTGGTTTCATTTTACCCAGCAGAGGCACAGAGAAGTAAAGTACTTGCCCTGGGTCACACAGCTGCCCACAGGGGTGAATGGCTGAAGGAGCTTACCCCAGTGACCCTCTTTTACAGGCTGGTCTGGAGGGGCTACAGAAGGCCACTGGGGCCAAAAGACCTTTGGTCACTTGGGAAGGAAAACACCTCAGAAGAACTCGTTGCCCAGTTTGAAAAGGAATGGACCAGGAACCGCAATATGGCCCAGTGGTGAGTGTGTGGAGGGCAAGAGGTCAGCCCAAGTGGCCAGGATCATCATTTGACCCCCAATCCAGCCTTCACCCCATCTGGGCTCCACTGCCACCCTCCCCTGCCTTCCAGCTGTTCCCACTAAGTGGAAACTAAGCCGTTCCTCCCAGGGCATTTTGCATGTCCTCAAGGGAGACCCGCAATGGGGAGCTCTCAGCAGAGCCTGGAGGCAAGTTCTCCTGGGGAAACTACAGGCAGGAAATCGAAGAGGTATTTTACAACTGGGGGTGGAGGGTTGAGTGGCTGCCTGTAACATGCAGGCAACTACTCACTCATTATGTAACCCAAGTGATTAGTTTCCAGGGCCTCAGTTTTCTCATCTGTTCAATGGGCATGTCATTGGTCCCTAGTTCATAGTTTGTGGGGATGAAAGAAGATGATTTATTGAAAAGAACTTAGCCAATTCCTTGAAAATGGTAAGAGCTCAGGCAATATTAGTTATCTAGAAAATTTCAAGATCTTTAGAGCTGTCCACTCTGTCTCACTGTTGCCATCAGAGGCATCTCTGGAAACTTCTGTGAAGCCTTTGGAGCCTGGGAACCTCATTTGAGAAACTCTGGTAAAATATGTAGATAAAATTGAGTAGCTGATGACCATGGACAAGTTGGTAAACCTCCCTGGGCTTCCGTGTTTTAGGGGATGGGGACAGAACCAAAAAAGTAAGTTAGCACTGGGGGAAGAGTTACAAGGTTCCTCTTGTAAAATGATTTTGTGGTGGTCTCTACAGATGGCCGAATCCCACAAATTAGAAGAGAGGGGGCAGAGGGGGGACACAGAGACTGACTACAGGCTCAGTGTGGCTGGATCTAGGGACTCATGGGATGTCAGGATTCTCTCCTTTCATCTCTCAGCTCAGCTGTTCCCTGTGTCTTGGTCTCTTCATAAGGCCGGTCCCTGCCATGCCATTTCAGCAACCCCAATAGAATGAAAGAGAATCTCTCCTAACATTCATATAGCAAATTCCCAGGAAGGCCTCTCATCAGCCTGGCTTGAGTTATGTGCTTATCAGAGGCCAATCTCATTCCCACTGGAGCTGGGCCCATACTTGGTGGTCCCAGCCACATAGGAGTGGAGGACTTTTTTCCAAAGGACTGGGGTGTGTTTTTCCAAAGAGGGTAAGTAATGTCAGCAAACCAAACTATCAGTTCTCTCTCACATAGGTGTCTCCGGCTGTGCTGCCCTCACTCTTTATTTATTTATTTTTTTTGGAGATAGAGTCTCAAGCTGATGCCCTGAGTAGAGTGCCATGCGTCACAGCTCACAGCACCCTCAAACTCTTGGGCTCAAGCAATTTTCCTGCCTTAGCCTCCCAAGTAGCTGGGACTACAGGTGCCCACCACAACACCTGGCTATGTTTTTTGTTGCCATTGTTGTTTTAGCTGACCTGGGTTGGGTTCGAATCCGCCAGCCTCACTGTATGTGGCCAGCGCCCTACCCACTGAGCTACAGGCCCTTGGACGGAGGACTCTGCCCTCACTCTTAAAAGGCTTCCCAGAAGTGGCAGGATTCTCTCTGAAGGGCTTTGGAGGTTCAGTCGCTCTCTTCCAACTCCTGGGCTGCCCAGCCACTGCAAAAATTATGTCACTCAACACTGGAGCTAGAAGGTAGAAGCATTCTCCGGAACAGTTTCGGACCCCTGCCATAAACAGTTGATAGAAATAAAGGCAAAGGTTACACCAAGTCCAAGCTCAGTCATTTTCCGAGTCAACTGATTACACACAGGGAGAACTTTGGTTTTATTTCTCAAGTATTTTGCAACCGCTGGGGGAAGGGAGAGGACTGTCACCTTGAGCGGTCACAAACCCGCCACCTGCTGGCCAAATCAGGCTCACAAGGTTTATTTGGCCCTATGGGGTGTTCCGTTTGGGTTCTATTGTTTTTTTCTGGTATGTTGCCCATGTTTAAAACTTTGGAGATACCACATAAAAGTCTGGAATCCTAGTCTCAAAGTGGATCTGGCAGCACTGGGCCATATCTCCACGTGGCAACAGGAGATTTGATCCGGGTAGAGGCTACAGCCTCAGACAGGGCATGTGCTTCCAGGTTTGCCACAGCAGTCTCCACGACTCCCTTTTGTACCCCCGAATTACACCATGCCACTCATTTACACCCCCTGCCTTGCCTGTAGTCATCTTGAGTCCTGCACTGCTAGACACTGGTCCGGAGGTGTCCTTCATGGGAGGTAAGACTTGCAGGCTGAACAGACTGACTCTTGGAGGGAACAACTAGAACAGAACAGGGCACAGTATTCAGCCAGAAAAAGGCCTTCATGGTCATCTCTTCTCCCATCACATTTTATGCATGAAAACATTGAGGGTCAGAGAAGAGACAGAGCAGCCATTTGAATTCTAGGTGCCCAGTCCAAGCCAGGTTCCATCTACTCAACCAAGCTCCTTCCTCTCTCCCTCCCTCCCTCTCTCCCTTCCTTCCTATCTTCCTCTCTTCCTTCCTGCCCTCCCATAAATTTTTGTAACATTACGTGCTGGGCACTGTTCTCCGGCCCTTTGCACACATCACTCCATCTCTTTTTTTCCCATTCATTCAACAAGCATTTGCTGTGTTCCTACCATGTTCAGGAGCTGGACTAGGTAGAAAATACAGGCACTGAGTCTGTCCTCCTGGGGTTCTTTTTTTTTTTTTTGAGACAGAGCCTCAAGCTGTCCCCCTGGGTAGAGTGCCATGGCATTACAGCTCACAGCAACCTCCAACTCCTGGGCTCAAGTGAGTCTCCTGCCTCCGCCTCCCAAGTAGCTGGGACCACAGGCGCCTGCCACAACGCCTGGCCATTTTTTGGTTGCAGCTGTCATTGTTTGGCGGGCCCGGGCTGGACTTGAACCCACCACCTTTGGTGTACGTGGCTGGCGCCTTAGCTGGTTGAGCCACAGGCGCCAAGCCTCCTCTTAGGGTTCTAATAAGACAAATAAGGACAGGGCTGGAGAGAGGGGGCACATCTGTGCAGGCAGCAGATTAAACAGCAGGGGTGGTCAGGCATGGCCTCTTCATGGAGGCAACATCTTCTTGGCACTTGAGTAGAGACCTTCCCCGGACGCTAAACCAAATAATAAGCCAGGCCAGGAATGAGGGACAAGGACATGGCCTTGTTAGCAAACAGCTGGTCACCTGAGCTCACCAGAGATTTTTTTTTCTTTACGGTGGGGGTTGGGGAGCGGTCCCTGGAGCACAAGGAGGCACCACTCTGTGACGCATGAATGAGTGTCTAGGCTCAAAGCCCTGCTCTGTCCTTGCTGGGTGACCTCAGGCAGCTCCCACCACCTCTCAGAGCCTTGGTTTCCTCTTTTGTAAAATGGGCAGCCTAATAGGACCCACTTGTGAGGGAGGTAAAAGCATCGTGTGCTTATACATGGGCGATCTCAGCAGCTGGCCCCAAGTCACAGCTGTGTAAATGGGGGTTGCAGTTAATAGCCCCACAGGCTGTCAGCCAGAAGGGACTCAGAGGTCTTGCTGCCCAAGACCACACAGCATCCGGGCTGTCAGCAGCTGTGTTACCCTGGTCTTTCCCTTATGGCTGAGGGCCAAAAGGGCCCTCTGGCTTCCTCAACCACCTCCTCTCCGGCTCTTACCTTATCTGCGCCTCTGGCCCCTGTTGGGACCACGGGCTGGGGATCATATTGCTTCAAGGCCACCTGAGCATCCCTCTGGAGTGCTGGAGCCCATGGATATAAGAGCTGGAGTGCTGGAGCCCACAGATATCAGCCAGGATTCTAAACTGGTTCTCCACCAGTTCTCAACTGTTTCAAACCAGCCAATGCCAGGCTCATAGTCTGTGTATGGCAGTAGGGGTCAGTGGGGAGTGGTAGGAGGACAGGGCTGTTCTTCCTCCAAGATGGCAGAATGATGGATCAAGAATTGCACAGGCTCGGCGCCTGTGGCTCAAGCGGCTAAGGCTCCAGCCACATACACCTAAGGTGGCGGGTTCGAATCCCCAGCCTGGGCCCGCCAAACAACAATGAT